CATTTCTGCCAGTGGAGTAAGAACATTTTACTTGGTAAGATTCTTGAAATAAGAAAAAATTGAGTCAAATCAAGTATTTCAAGAATCTTACCAAGTAAAATGTTCTTACTCCACTGGCAGAAATGTTTGACTTAATTAGAGTCAAATTTTCAGACTAACAAGACAAATAATCTTACACATTCTGAAAACAAGATGATTATTCTTACACAATCAGTTCTTGTTTAGTAAATCAGTCTGAAAACAAGATCAAAAAGACTTTTTGGCTGAAATAAGGTTTTAAAACTTGGTAAGATGGACAGTTTTTGCAGTGTGTAATTGTTGTAATTCCAGTGGCAGATTATTTTCACTTAAGTTAAGAAATATGAGACAATTCAGACTCAGTTTAAGTGAAATAATCTGCCAGTGGATTAAGAACATTTGCACTTGGTGAGATTCTTGAAATGAGGACATTTTCCAGTGTAACAAGTCTAAATAATCTTACATTCTGCTCTATTATACTCAAAACAAGATAAAAAAAACCCTTTTTGTCTGAATATAAGATAAAAAAAGACTTGTTTAGATGGCGTTGTTCTTGTTTTTAACTTAGACCATTATTCATACAGTGAACATAATGAATGCTGAGACATACAAATCAACTCCTTCTGATTTCAGCTGTTATATTTCAGGGACATTTTATGTTATTTGGTTCTCAGAACACTGGAAAGACCAATGCAGCTGCAAATAATCTGTCCAAATAGTAAAAGTAGGCTTGAGTGAAGTGAAGTGCTTCAAAAGGAGAGTTTAGACATTTTAACGTGGTTCTGATTTGAAACTGTGAATATTTTTCGACTGAACTGAAGCAGACTCTCAGCGTCGGTGCAGGGGCTTTGTTGGCACATCTCTCTGCTTCTCAGTCGCTGTCTCTGTCCTCGTTCTCCCTCAAAGCATCGTGGCCGTCTTCCTCATCTTCCTCCTCTGCCTCGACATCCTCCTCATCCCCACCTCCATTCATCATCTCCAGCTCCGCCTCCACCTCAGCGTTGTCAACCTCCACATCCTCCCCGCTGACCAGCTCCACATCCCTGGACACCTCCACCATCTCGGTGCCTTGGACCACCTCCACAGCGCCCTCCCGGATCTTCTTCACGTGGAAGGTGAAAGGGGGCACTTTGTACATGGCGGTCTTGGATCGAGCGTAAACGACGTGGTCTGGTGTGAAGGCCTTCTTCACCTTGTCTCCGGATGTCTTCATCTTCTGTTTGCGCTCAGGATTTACGCTCATGCGTGTTCCGAGTTTTCCCATCTTCTTCTCAATGTTGTGGCGTGTCTTCTCCAGGTTCTCTCTCGTCTTCTGTTTCGTTTTCTCTAAATTCTCCTTGGTTTTTTGTCTGGTCTTCTCCAGGTTCTCCTTTGTCTTCTGCCTTGTCTTCTCAATGTTCTCCTTGGTTTTCTGTCTGGTCTTCTCCAGGTTCTCTTTAGTCTTGGCTCTGGTCCTGTCCATCTTCTCCTTGGAGAAAACCGTCTTCAGGTTCTGCATGCGCTGCAAGCTGCTGCGCTTCATGCGTTCAGCGCGGGTCTCTTCAATGGTCTCGATCTCCACGCCCTCCTCGTCTGATGACAGATCCACGTGGGGTTTGTCTTCCTTGTCTCCTTCTTTCTCTTCCTCGTCCTGTTCTTCCACGGCTTCTTTGAGCTCCAGCAAACTGCCTCCTCTGCTTCCTGACACGGACTCAGAGATCTTCATGGATTTGGAGATGCTAAGTTTGGAAGGAACCTTAACGTCATCCTGTTGAGAGAGAGCATAGAGAAGTTCAGTGTTATAGAAGTTTTAACAGATAGATGTAATGTTTTTACAGTGTTGTGGTTATGGTGAGTGGGCCCATTGCTCTCCTCAAAAAGACACTGGTCTTTATTCAAACCTTCTCGTCGCTCAGATGACGGACACCAGGTTAGAAACACTCAGTGTTCTGAGCTTCTCAGGATCCATGAAGGGATCACCAAGAATTATGTCCTTTGACTGCTTAGAGCCAAGTGTCACTGAGATGTAGACAGTTAAAGATTTTCTGAAAAAGCTGCAGAGCAACCTGTGTTTAGTTGTGTTTCTGCCTCAAGTTGTTGGGTTTACTGTGCCATGGTAAAAAAATACCCTGGACTTCATCATTTAGCTGCTTTCTGAGTTTGTCTGGACTGCTTAGATCTTTTTCACCTCACTGCATGGCAGTAGAAATTTTTTTTACAAAAATAATCGTTTATTTTCTACAAAATGTAAGATCTAAAGGACATTGATGGTGCAATGAAAACTCGTTTTATTTTTGAAGATTCAGCTGAATAACTCTCTGATACATGTAACATATTTTACATTTCCTGAATACCTGACGGCCTGACTCCTGATGGTGTTCCTGACGCTGCCCTCTGTTCTTCAGTGTCCCTCCCTGTTCTGACTGTTTGTTCGCCAGATGAACTAGTTCATCTTCCCCATAAGTTCCTTCTTATTGTTAGCAGAATAATGCTGTCGCTTGTTAACGAGGGAACTGGAGGGAGTGGCAGGAGGAGGAGAGTTTCTCTCGGGCTCCCAAATGTCTGCATCTACCCCCCCACCACCCTTGCAATGCTTTTATGGTGAAAACAGGAACACGGCAGAGCCAGAACAAAAGAGTCCCAGGGAGGGGGTGAGGGCTGGGTTAAGGTGTGGAAAATGGAAATGTTTTTTCTGCTGTCATACGCACGGAGTAACAGTACAAGAGGAATGATCCTTCAGAGTCTTGGAAAACCATCTGCACAGCAGGAAGATGATAGCATCGAAGTGTTGGAAAGTGTAGGAATGAGAGGCTAGGGTGGGGGCAAAGCTATTGTGCTTGCCTGCAGTGATTGGTCGTTTTATGGAAGCATTGTACTACAGTATCTTGGGTAAACTTGACCTTGGAGGAGGGATTTAGGCTTTCCTGAACAGCTGTGTTGAGGGGCAGCAAGGAAAAGGAAAGAACAATGCTGCGGTCCACTTCAGTAAAGTCTGATAAGACCTTACAGCCATCATTTTAAAAGGTAATATTTAATGTTGTACAGCTTGTACAGAGTTTCTCTTGGTGAGAATGATTCCAACATACGTACCACAGTACAACACAGACCAACCCATTCTCACTCCCGACTCGTCACATATTGATGCTTGGTCAGGTACCATCTGCGTCCAGTTTTAGACACGTTGAGAAATCGCCTTACGTCAGTTATTAACAAGATGAGACAGAGGATGAGGAGCACGTTGTCATATTTTTGAAAAGAGTAGGAAATCCACGACAACTAACCGTCCCAGACCCTAAGTTGAACTTCTATTAACCCTAGACATCATATCCCTGACCCCAGTACCTAAAATTAACCATTAACCCTGATCCCTAGTATTAACCACAGACCCCCAACACAAACACACCTATGTGGCGCAACCCGGGAAAGTCACGGGTGTGAATAATTGACACGAGGGGGTTACCCGACTCAGCAAAACTGGATGCAGACAGTACTTCACCAAGCCTCAATATGGTGACAAGTCAGGAGCGTGAACTTGTTGCAAAGACACAAAATGTTGATCTGAAAACTGAATGGGAGCTAATTTAAAGGGTTCATCAAAACTTTAATAAACAACATTGTCCGTTTGCTCCACCACTGCATTACATTTTTATACCAGAAACTAAATGTTTTTTTTTTTTTGGTGGGCAGTGGGTCATGTGTTGTAGTTTTGGATCCAGAGTCTGCTCAGTGTGGGGCTGTACCACTGGTACCAAAGTCCTGCCTACAAACCTTCTCAACTTTGTCACAGTGTTACATGGGGGCGGCTGTGGCAGAGTGGTTAGGGGAGTTGTCCTGTAACTGGTGGGTTGCTGGTTTGATGCCCCGTTCCACACATCTCAGCTGTTGTGTCCTTGGGCAAGACAATTCACCTGATTTGTCTGCTGGTGGTGGTCAGAGGGGCCGGTGGCACCATTGTATCGCAGCCTTGCCTCTGTCAGTGTGCCTCAGGGCAGCTGTGGCTACAGTGTAGCTTACAACCATCAGTGTGTGGATGACTGGTAAAGAGCTTTGGAGTCACTAAGATCACATCATTTACCAAAATAAAAGCTGAACAAAATCTTTACCTTTACCATTTAACTGCAGCAGTTTTATGTTTTAAAATGTGACCAACTGTGAAGATCCTCTATCTACAATTTGGTTGTAAAGTAAAGGGCACTTGTTTCCTAATGGTTGAAGACCCTAGAGAGCAGTCTGACCCGTCAGAGGGAAGGACATCATTAAGATATCCCTGTTTGCACAAGAGTCCAGGAGAGAATGTCATGCTGTCTGCTCATTCGTGTGTCCAAAGCATGGAAAGAGCTGTAGGAAGCTCGGATATTCACCTTGGTGTTCAGACTTCCTGACCCGCCTAATTTAATGGGACATTGTTCTCAGAGGCAGTCACTCCAAAAACAGGAAGGTAGGGTCAGAATTAGGGAAAATAGATGAAGGAGGTATGTAATGGTTCTGTTTGTGTGGTTGTCAAGGCAAGTGAAGGGGAATGAGACTCAGCTCTTACAACACGTACGTGAGGAAACAAATTCCATACTTGCTTCAGTTCGAAATGACTAAATAGATTTTGGGAGGGAGGTTTTGTTGCAAAACACAGCAAATCACACTTTGAGTGTGTGTGTGTGTGTGTGTGTGTGTGTGTGTGTGTGTGTGTGTGTGTGTGTGTGTGTGTGTGTGTGTGTGTGCACGAGATGCACCTTTCATCTCTTATTCTGCAAACACTCATCAGCCTGATGTTGAAAGAGAGAGTGGAAGCCTGCTGTAACCCTAACCCTGCTCTGTTTTTGTTTTCCTACCAACCTGAACCACCAGGAACTCCCCTCACACTATGGAAATCCAGATGTGTGTGTGTGTGTGTGTGTGTGTGTGTGTGTGTGTGTGTGTGTGTCCTACATTGTGGGGCCCAGTTTGTGGGGTGCTCCTTGTGGTGCCCAAAGCCTGGGCCCCACAACTTCAGAGGCTGATTTTGGGTTGTGGGGGTTGTGTTTAGGACCAAGGTGTGAATTGATTTTAGGTTAGTAGGTACCTGTGAGGTTAGCTTTAGGGTTTGTGGTCAGGGTTAGGATATAAAATTACCAAAAAATGAATGGAAGTCAATGGACGGGCCCCACAAGGATATAAAAACAAGTGTGTGTGCGTGTGTGTGTGTGTGTGTTAGAGTGTGTATGTGTGTGTATGTGTGTGTGTGTGTGTGTGTGTGTGTGTGTGTGTGTGTGTGTGTGTGTGTGTGTGTGTGT